AACATAAGCTCGTTTGAAAACGTAGGGAATAGTAGCGGATGATATACAAGAATTAATAATATTGGTAAAAACTGGAATAACTTCGTCTAGACAGTCCTTAAGAACAGAAGTCGGAACAGGATCTAATGAACACGATTTAGGAGCAGACGATTTAATTAGCTTTAAAACAAAAGATTCACTAACCAAGTTAAAATTTTCTAAATAAACAGAATTTTCTAACTTATCAAAATCATGAGCGTTAAAGTCAATAGTTTTATTTAAATCATCAAGTTCAGTTCGTATTTTCTGTATTTTTATTTGAAAGAAATCAGAGAATAAATTTGCAAGTTCAGTGTCATTATCATTGTCCGGGAGGATAGTACGCTCAGCATTATGGTCCAAAAGGGAATTCACAACTTTATACAGGTCTTTTTGTCTGTTTTCGCCATTTTCTATTTTATCAGAGTAAAATTTAATTTTAGCATCTTCAATTAATTTATTCACATTGTTCTTTAAAGATTTATAAATCTGTTTATGGACATGTAGATTTGTTTTCCGCCACAGATGTTCAGCCTTATTACGGTCCCTTTTGGCTTCTAAAATAGAATCATTAAACCACTGCGTATTGGGACGAATAGTAAATGTTTTCGTTTGAAGAGGAACAAGCGAGTCCAAAATTTCAGCAGGCTTTGAGTGATATTGGGTTGCCTTCTCTTGTATATCTTGAATAAGTTGAATGTCATTGAAATTCGAGTTCACTATTTCCGCTTTAAATTTATTTATGTCAAATGATTTAAACCTTCGATATGTTAAAGTCTTTCTTGTTGGTTGTGGTTTCTGGATCATAAGATTAAAAGTTGCCGGGAAATGATCAGATATTAATTTGTCCGAGACAGAGAGATTATCCAGTTTAATATCACGTGGATTAGTTATCACCAGATCGAGAATATGTCCACCGTTATGAGTAGAAGAAGAAACATGTTGTGTGAGAGATCTATTATTCAGCATATCACAAAAATCAACCGCGGTAGAGTCGTTAGAATCATCAACATAAAAATTAAAATCTCCCCAAATAATAGTGCAACACTTAGTCATCATCAACTGGTCCAGAAATAATCCAAATTCTTCCATAAACTTTTGACACAATTTGCTATTGGGCGGGCGGTAAATTGTAATAATCCTAGTTTCCTTGAAAGAAAACTGTAGAGAACAATCCAAAATTTCAAAAGAATCAAAACGGTCATGACGGATTTTCTTACACTTAATAGATGACTTAAATATAAGTGCTACACCTCCTCCACGTGAACCGCGAGGGCAATGTTGTATAGAATATCCATCAGGTACTAAAGCTGCGATTGTCGATGAGATGTATGGGAGGATGAGTGAACAAGGGTGATCGCTGATGCAAGGAAAAAGGAAAAATTTAAAAAAATATATATTAATTCAATAAACATAAAATCATGAAAGATAAAACCTATTATTAGACTGTAAAACTGGACAAGGGAAACCGTAAATATATTAATTCAATGAACTGGAAATCATGAAAGATAAAACCTCTTATTAGACTATAAAACTGGACGAGGGAAAACGTAAATATATTAATTCAATAAAATGAAAATCAAGAAATGTGATAATCTGATTAAATGTACGACTTTTGTAGAATTTTTGCTCTTTAAATTAAGGATAGCATTATATTGTATTAATTAATATCTTTGTCAGGTTAGGAGATTCGCATATTTGTACTTAAATCAAGTTAGCGAATGAGTGACAGATGGTCACATAAAAAAAGAGTCATAACGTGGTAAACAATCAATTCTAGGTTGATAACAGATATCTCATGGAAAGTTTCTCCAGTAAATTTCCACTAACCGTATATTTGGCTCAATTAACCAATCTCTCTAATTATTTACATCATATTTGACCAATTAGATAATTGAAGGTCCAAAACCCAAAGCTACAAAACGATCATACTTGTGAGAATTATTATTTACCTATAGCCCAGGTTAATTGGTTTCCCGTTAATAGTGTTAATACATTGATCTTTATAAATAATAGGATTTTCCCCCTTTTTACCCCCCCCGTAAGAGTTTCTGTTGTGTAGCTTTAGTTGTAAATGGCCCGCTAATCAAAGGTGTTAAGTTATAATTGTATTTGATTGCTATTTTGTTGCATATTCTGTATAATATATATTTGCCCACTGTTCACATATCTGTATCAATTGCTTGATAAAGACGAGAGTATCCTCGTCAAAACGTCACTTAGTATTAAATTCAGTAATAGTGTTCTTTGATTGGCATTTAGTAATTGAACATATTAACACAAGGTAAAATTTTATGGATACACAATTACTGAGCTTGATACTAAGCGACAATTTGACATTTTTATTTGATTTTTATCCTTGTTGCATATTCTGTATATATTTGCCTACTATTCACATACCTGTATCATTTGCTTGATAAAGACGAGAGTATCCTCGTCGAAACGTCGCTTAGTATTAAACTCAGTAATTATGTATCCATAAAATTGTACCTTGTGTCAGTAATTGTGTATCCATAAAATTGTACCCTATGTTTATATGTTTAATTACTAAATGCCAAACCAAGAAGATATTCTGTAGTCCACCATTCGGTGATGTTTTCCTCGTAACATGTAACCATAAATATAAAATAGACAGGGTGTAAAGCATTCTATATTGTAACATGGACGGGAAATCGTCCTTTGTTCTTTTCGTTGAATAAGCAGATTGTTTTCCCTCTAGTAGATTGGATGGAGCTTAACCGTGCAATAACCTAGACAATTCCAATGTTATTGCACACTTTTGCTGGTTTACACCAGAGTAGTAGAAATCATATAGAGAAGTGGGGTGGGTTTTCTGTGCAGTAACAACAAGCAGGCTGAGCAGGTGTCAATGTTACAAGTCATTTATAGCATAAGGCCTCTGTTTAAACCTGTTAACTCATGAAAGCCGTGCTATAAATATAACTTAACAAGTATTAACTGCTTCTTAAATGGATTATATTTTGAAATGTCTGGCTTAGCGAGGAACATAGATTGAAAATTACTCTCACATTCTCTCCGATACTGTAGACACGTACGTCAACTACAACATCTCTCGCTGGTTTCTCTTTCGTCTACGGTTTCCCAAAGTCGGCTTTTTATGGTCTAGATCCATTATATGTGCTAAGGGAGACACATTATCAATACTAATTACATGGTCCATCGCCGACTGATTTTTTTTTTTTTTTTTTTTTGCCAAGTATGCAGTAAATGAATATAGCTGAAGACAAAATGTATCAACTATCTTATGACAAATCATTTGTGGATTTAATAAACGTTTCAATCAATATCTATTATATCAAGTATAACATTCAACCTGGCTATATAATTTGTAGGGAAGACTGATTAATTTTAAATGGCGATGCTAAATACTCACTCCTTCCAAATTCACAAATTGTAACGATGTTCTTTGTATAAATGTTTTGTTCCAGTGGGGTCTGTTGTATACGCTAGAAATGTTGATTGGTTATATTATGATCCTTGCTGAAGTTTGTAACTATAAAATTTGTAATAAAATTTAAAACAAATCGACATTGTCCGACAATAAATTCCGATATCTAAGAATGTTTGTTTTGGGGCTAGAGTTATGGGTATTTCACACAAAAAAACCCACAACATTAGCATAACCCTAAATATCTATAAATAATTACGTCATTTGAATAAGAAAGGAACGCCATGCATACACCGGTAAAATAGATATAACAAAGATCTTTGTCAGCACAAAGTAAAAATAACCCAGGATTCTACATGTATGTATTATGTATTAAAGAGTATGCTAAGTGTTAAACTACGTGCATGTCACTTTACAATGAATGGTTTAACATCTGCTCGGACTTGACAAAATCATTATAAAACGACTTGTTTGTGTTTTAGAGAGAGAAGGAGAGGGGGAAGAGAGAAATTGGGGTTTAACGTCCACGGGACACAAACTAGTTCATTTCGGGACTAACATACGGTTCAATTTTATTTCAATAATTCGCTGGCGCGTAGGGGTCTTTAGCAGTGGGAGGAAACCGGAGGACTAGGAGAAAGCCTACGAGGTTGGACAGGCGACCCTACTCCTTGTCACGTACAACCGGAGAATCGAAACCACGATAGTTGATTCAATGACAGACCTTATGATGCAGCGCGCACACGCTAACCATACCTCAATCCAACACCCCGTCATACTTTAATTTGCTTGTCACAGTGTAATACACATAGTGATTGTATACATACCACGTATTCTACGATTATTTTAAGTCAATTGCTAAATAACCTGTCAAGGATTGTACTTTTTACATTCTTATCCAATTAAATATTCATCACGCAATTTGCCGAAAGCAGTTCCTTTACTCAATACAGAAGTCTATATGTTATTAGTTTTCGAGTTTTCCCACAGCTAGCCTTTATATGTGTTGCGACAATGTTAACCTTAGTGCTGATAGTACATGTTTTACAAGTAATCTTATCCAAACTTGTTTATCAACATTCAATAAATGCCTGAATTTTCATTTTTAATTTTAGCATTCAAAACACCTGTCCAGATATACTCAATTATTCACTCGTTTTTTCTCGACTTTTAATGAAGATTAGAATTTTGACATTTTCTATGACGAAGGAACTCATTTTAAATCTTTTCTCCGCAACTGTACACTCCACTAATTAACCTTTCATGAATTACGGTGTATTTTAAAATCGGGTCTATGTGTCGAGGACAAAGCTGTGCGTGCTTACATTTCCCGGAGCATAACATAATACCTGCCATTGTGAGAGGGATAATGGTTTACATATTTGGGTTTACTTTCACATCAGTGTTGGATATTTATTGTCTTTATTATATTGTGCAATGAACATACACCAAACCCGAAGTACACCAAAATCCAAAGTACAAAAAATCGGTTGAAATCAATTTACAAAAATTATTAATAACATAACATTTAAAATCATTTCGAATACTTTTTTTTAAAAAAAAATTAGCTTACCTTGTTAACGACATCTTTATTAATGTCAATAATTTCTAAGCAAACAGAGCATCAACAAAAGCACAATTCGAGGGATTTATAAAAGTATAATCCACGTGTTGAGTTATAAACTTCACATCTGTAGATATTACATGAAAACACAAGTTAAACAGTAGCAACTTTCTGTATTACACAACTTGAATATATTTCTATATAATTTACTTATATATAATAATAGGTTGCAATAAATATAAACGTGTATGATATTCGCATACTTAGTCAACTGAATTCAATAAACACATCATACATGAAAGTATACGATAGACTATTTAAGCATAAAGCATATCACTCGACTGTGTATTCTAGAAGCGATACTCTATGTATTACTATTCTCCGGTGTCTCGACGTATTTTACTTTTCGTCTATACAACTTAGTTTAATAGCTTGTTCCTCTCGCCCACTTACAGTCGACTTACAGTTCGTGCAAAATGTCTTCCGCTTCCATAAAAATGATTTTTTCAAACAGAACTCCTCGTTAGTATTTATCTTTCTGAATGGCTCCTCTCATTTTCAATATCATTAACAAGAGAGCATAATATTCATAAATTTTTTACAAAGAAAAATGTAAAAATCAGCTTTTAAAGTTAAGTGTAAGAAAAGCTTGAGTTCTACACTAATAACATTCAATCAGACTGTATACATTGCTTATATTATTTATATTCTTCACACTTCGTTTCGTTCGAATTTCGGGGGGTTGGATGGCCGAATGGTTAGCACGTGTCCTGTATCATAGGCACTGGCACTGAGTCAACTGGCGTGGTTTCGATTCCCCGGTTGTACGTGACAAGGAGTGGGTCCCCTGTCCAACCTCGTGGATTTTCTCCGGGTCCTCCGGTCCACCCCTTCCCCCGGGCTAAACCCTTACGCGCAAGCGAATTATTGAAATAAAATTGAACGATATGTTAGTTCCAAAATGACCTAGTTTCTCTCTCTCGTTCGAATTTCGGTCTGTTTTGATTGCGTTTCGTTTTAATTTTTCATTTATCACAAAAACCGATCAAATAATAGGTTACTATTCATTGACTTGGGCCGTGTGACATTCAATAATGTATGAATGTCGCCTTTTTTTAAAGGTTCCTGCCTTTATATTTATAACATAAGACAATCATAGCACTAGCATGAGTTTATTTGTTTAAGTGATCGATAGTCATGGAATGATTGTATAATATAAAACGACCGTAGGTCAGAAATGAGTGATTACACTACATAAGGGTGTGCTGTAAGCTCTCAAGCGGGTCAAGGAGGCTCAGCCGCCTAACATTTTTGTGAGTATGGAGTCCTTTTGTTGTTAAAATTGATTACACAGTTATATCCCTAGTTATCAGTAGAAGCATCATTTCGGGGTCTAGGTAACTAAATGAGATGAAATGAGGTTTAACGTCCTACTGTTCTGCACCAACCAGGATAATGGACAGACAGACATAACCCATGCAGTGTGTTGGGGGCGTTGGGGTACCTTTTCATCGAATTCCAACTTCCCTGGGTCCCTTAACGTACACGCCAATGCGTTCACGGGACCTCGGTTTTTGGTCTCGCCCGAACGACTAGTCGCTGTACTTTACCATACTCTCCACCCTGCACTACTGATATGGCGAAACCGGCGTTGGAAAATTTCGAGGAGCAGTAGGACGTTAAACCTCATTTCATTTCATTTCGAGGAGCTTTCCCGGCCAACACCGTGGTCGAACTCCTGCATCTCCTGGTCGGTGAGGCAGCGCCTTACCCACTGAACCTTCAATAAGAGAGCGAAGCCCCCCGCAGATCCCCTCTCCCCCCTCCCGGAGATAATTTGCAGTTCTGGCCTCATTTTGCTGTAACAACCGCTAGAATTCTATTTTGCTAAGCTTCCTAATGAACCAGATATTTATCATTTTGCAGTAAGCGGTCACACGATGGCTTAAGATGCCCTAACGAATGGCCCGATATTTTTACGATCAGGGCCGAATTTACTTTATCGTATCTGGCGTCAGTTTCGAGGGATTGTGACGCATCTTCCCGAGTCAGTCGTGAGTAACTCTACAGAGCCATGGTGTGGCCTCTGTGTGTCCTGCGGGTATAAATTACTATACAAACATTCACATCATATTACCTTCGTGACATCGTGTGACGTTCTGTAGGCATTGCACTTGCTTCGGCTGTTGATTGCTTTTTGGCCAATTTCGGGTCAGTCTTCGAGCGAAATTCAAAATTCCATATTCGTATGACCATCTGGTGTCAATTTCGAGACAGTGTGAGGCCAGCATAAAGATATACATCTGTTGTGTTTCTTATTCAGTTTCCTTGTTGTTTTCTTGTAACATATTAATTTGTTTCATACTGTGGATATAAAACTTCGCTGGGTGACATGTTATCCTGCCAACATTTGCTTATGACTTTGATTATGTGGATGAATTTACGGGCAAGAAAAGGGGCATAAAAGGAACCATAATATGTGCTTATCCAACCCAACCCCCGTCATGCAAGATTGGACATTTTGTGGTTAAATATAGATATAAATATTTATCAATCCTTCAACTTTCTAGTTCAAGAGAGCTAGCTTTTTTAAATAACCCAACCAATTCAACAATCCCATACATGCATAATATAGACGTCACACAGAGTGCATAATTGCATAATTGCAGTTTTGTTACTGACAAATTGGCCTAATGTATTCCAATTTACCCACACAGTGGTAGTGGGTAGGTTAACCACAGTCACACAGACCTAATTTTAAATGTGTTATTGCAGAATATTAATCAAGTACAAATTATTTCTATAATTACAAATTGAAAGATTCGCATATTTTAGATCTATGGGGTCCATATTATATGATGTTCGTCATGAACCGAGCTGGTCAAAAGTACCTTATAGTACCTGTTGTTCCATTTTACTCGGTCTCATTCTACGTGGGTATTTCACTCTACCTGATAATTAATACCTTCAAAAGATTTCATTGTACGTGAGTATTTGATACCTTCAGAAGAGTATTTAATATTTTCATGAGAGTAGACTATTTAATACCTTCAGAAGATTGCACTCTACTTTCATAAATATAGCCTTATATTTGGCCATTTGCACAGTTGTAGACTCCGCACCATTGTTCAAACTATAATCTAGAATTCATTATGTTTAAAATCGGTTTTATAGATATTAATAGACTAAAAGTTTATATCTATTTCAGTACCTATATTATAAATCATTACGGCGTTATTAATATCATATACATGTATATATTACTATAAGATTCAGATGGGATCACTTTGATTAAGTTAATAAAAATAATCGAAAATTCCTCTAGGGTAAATGTACGTATGAATTCTATACATGGTCATGAATGCGTAACTTGATCGATTGAATGAAATGAAGACTAAGTGATGTGGTCCAGTTAGCTCTGTCACCTTTCTTAACCTATAATCAACCCATTATACAGTAATACTTGTCCTCATAACATATTATATATGTACTAATCTATAGCCGGGGTTCGAATCTTTATGAGTAGTTCCCGTTAGCGCATCACAGACCCTAAACCCGTACGTAACTAACGTACGAAAATTAATTGGTGGCTAGCTTTTTTTTTCGCACGTATACAGTGAATGGCCATTTTGCTCAGTAATCCCAGCCAGAATTTGGCTATTTTCTAAATTTGCGTTAAAGTTTTTAAAATAAATTAACTATTAGTCAATCCCAACGCTAAAAACATCAACAGAATTGATTGTGTATATCGGAAATAGACACGACCGACGCACAAAATAGTGCCAAGATGGCAGCCTCTATGAACAATCATTCGCAGACGCTGTCATTGAAGACAACGTCAATTCTATGAGTTGTAGATGTTATTTTTGTGAAAAATCATTGGAAGAAGGGAGAACACGTTGGGACTGTACGAATTATATAGTCTTTATGGGTGCAAAGCACACAATGCTGAAGATAAACCTATTGTTTACAATGTAACGTGTTGTTGACCTCATGGCCCATTGACGTCAATGTCATGACCTGTGATGTGTAGATCACGTGATATGGATATCATAGCTATTGACTGTGTCTGAGATACTTCTCCGCAGGTAGCGTGTCTCAGATGTTCAGAATGACCCTAAACCGACACATGTGTTCAATATGTATGTAGGCCTATGGTTTGGTTTGATAGTCAAGATCATGAATTCCACGCCTTACTTTGTTTTCCACATTTCAATAACAGACTGTCCTAGGTTGATTGTTTCTACACCCGGTTTTCATTTTGTCGTATTATGTCGCCGTCCCTGTCCGTCCTTTTCCATTATGTTTGTAGACACTCTACATGTCTATTTTTTTTTCGATTTTGATTACACTTAGAACAGATCTTGGCTCCTTTCGATATTGACAAATTTCGGCTATGGCCCCAGGTTGTACGAAAAATCGTGTTTTTAGCTTGTGAAGCCGCTAACGGTCAGAATTTTTATTTGATTTCAAAAACCATTCAAATGTATCACCGTTATATCATAATTATGGTTAAGATCGAATTTCCTGAAAATCAGACCGAAACTGTCGATCCCCTTTTACGGAAATGGTGAAAGGCATGTAATATGTATACCAGGTTTGTACTTGAAGGATCCAAAGATCTTGGATGGGATCGATCTTTAGGGCCCATAATTTTAGTCCGATTTAGATGAAACTTAAAATAAAAGCTAAGGATGGAAAGATCTCGAATAAGTTTGGTTTTGGTGAGCATCGGACCTTCCGTTCCAGAGTTATGTGCCCTTTTCTGAAAACCTTGTGAACGCAATACGGGCTTTTTTATTTTAACGAATTTTTTTCAAATTTTGTTTAAACCATTCGGATCATGGGAGGACGAAACCTATCGATAATCAGAGTTTCTTAACCTTTTGTTCCAGAGTTATGCCCCCTTAGGGGAACCCTTTTGAATGCGATAGAGGCTATAGTTTTTACTTCAAATTTGGAGCGTAGCATTAGGGTCTTTAGAGGAAAAGCCCTATCAATATTCAGAGATCCGTGACATGTTCTCCGTTTTTTGTTTATGTCTTTCTTTTATGGATTAATGTTGTGATTGTTGTAATTTTATATTAGTTGTACTTATGTAAAGCGCCCAAGAGCAGCTCTCTGAGTTGAATTGTTGGCGCTATATAAATCAATTATTATTTTATTATTATTATTCCGTTCCGAAGTTACCTTGTGAACGCGCTAGGCTACAATTTTTAACATACTTTTTTTTCTAATTCGATGTGAAGCATTGGGAAAATGAGAGAGTGAACCCTATGGATTTTCCCTGTTCTCCGTCCATCTGTTCCAAAATGTGTGTATATCGTGCATGGCAACCGCTTGTTTAAGTCTTAACATCCACATTGGGGTCATTCTGAGACTAATGTATCCTTTATTCTATTCTTGCGTCAGCAATTCGGGGGTTGGGTGGAGAGGGGGTATTTAAGGCTATGTTGGAATACTTAATCATTCGTCTGCATTTACGTCAGTATTTATAACATAATTTTCAGGTGTAAAGAAGAGAAATGCCGATGGTGTATACTATATAAACTAAATATATTTTATATAAAAAATCTGGTGTTACATCGTAGATATATTATTGTGTTGTTATTGTGAGATAGGAGAGTCGCTAAGGCCTACTCATATAAATAATTCCTACTGTTAAGGGTTCTTTTATGTGCATGTTAATGTGTTCACTGGATCTCGGTTTTCCCATCCAATCAGAACGATTAGACAACTGTACTTGTCAGGTCCTCCGCCCTATCCTACTGACAAGGGGAAACCACGCCGGAACTTCCTCGGCCAACACCGGGAGTGAACCCGAGACCTCAAGGCTAGCGAGTCAGCGTTTTGCTCACTGAGTCACCGTGGCTACCGTATATTATATTATGAATTCTATGGGTATTTTTATAGTAGTATTACTACATTATATTATGGATGTAATATGTTGTTTAATACTAATATAACTATATTATATTATGGATGTAACTTGTTGTTTTATAGTAATATACTATTCAAAAAAAGTAGGGGATATTTGATTTTTAAGTGTTATTAAAGTCACCTAATGAAACTGACGAAGAAACAAATGACAAAATGAAATGAAGTTCACATTCATCGATTTATTCCAAATGATCGTTAGACTAAGTAAGGCAAAGACTGACCATTATAAGGGTAAACTGATACCCGGGGTCAAACAGCAAAGTTCCCACAGCATCACAACCAAGTCAGTAACGGGTAAATCCTCCTCTGTTTGCCAAACAAGCATTGATCCGACGTGGCATACTCCTAATGAGACGTCTAAGGTCATTTTGGTCCAGATTGTCCCATTCCTGTTGCAACGCAGCAGCAAGTTCTTGGACATTGGCAGGACGTTGTTGACGTTGACGTAACCTCTGTCCAAGCATGTCCTAGACATGCTCGATGGGGGAGAGGTCGGGACTCAGTGCTGGCCAAGGTAATGTGGTGATGTTCTGTTGTTGGAGGTAACCTGTAACGATCCTGGCCCTGTGACATCTTGCGTTGTCATCCTGGAAGATGAAACGGCGGCCATGACGTCGTGCGAACTGCACAACATGGGCTGCCAAGATGTTGTCTCGGTAGTACTGGCCTGTAACACGCCCTGCAACAACATGTAAAGCCGTTCTTCCAGCAACAGTGATTCCTCCCCACACCATAACAGAACCACCCCCAAATCGATCATGTCTGATGACGTTAACGTCTTGGAAGCGCTCGTTTCGACGACGCCACACCCTCCTACGTCTGTCCAAAAAATCAACAGTGAACCTTGACTCATCTGAAAACATCACATTGCTCCAGCGTCGATTATCCCAGTGTTGACGATCCCTACACCAACGACGTCTTGCCTGAATGTGATGATCTCTCAAACAAGGGATCACGCGAGGACGTCGGGCGCGAAGGTGACCCCTATGCAGTCGATTCCGAATCGTCTGGCCACTCACTCTCACACCAGTGTCTGTTTGAAGACGAGCGCTGATCTGATTTGCTCTGATGACACGATTTCTCAAGGCCAAGGTACGGATAAATCGATCCTGGGCTTGAGTTGTCGCCCTTGGTCGACCTGAGCGTGGTCTGTCCTGTACAGATTGTGTATCACGGTATCTGGACCATAGCCTGCTTATGACAGACTGAGAAACATTCATCGTCCGCGCCACAACCGCCTGTGTTGTGCCGATCTGTAGCATGCCAAGGGCACGTAACCTTTCATTTTGGGTAAGCCGACGCATATCAAAATTTGTTTTCTGGTCACTAAAACAATTAAACTGATGTTTCCACCCTGGAATTCAATGCCACAATGACTGTAACATTCAAAGTCAGAGTCGTGCAAATCTTGGGTTGCACCCCCATGATGATCCCAAGCATCACCTGCATTCCATGCGGTAGCTATTGGTGCGTTTGGGCGTCACATGTAACTGGAAATGTTTCTTCTGTTAGGTTCTATAGTGACTTTTTTCGTAGTCATTTGCATATTTTAGTATTATGCCCCCAAAATCAAATATCCCCTACTTTTTTTGAATAGTATATAACTATATTATATTATGACAGCTATAGATGTAATATGTTGTTTTATAGTAATATTACTTTATTATATTATGACATCTATGGGTGTAATATGTTGTTTTATAATAGTGCTACTGTATTATATTAGGACATCTATGGGAATATGTTGTTTTATAATAGCATTACTGTATCATATTATGGGATCTATGAGTATAAACCATTATTACTCGCTGAAATTTTAAATTTCATATAATAATGATAATAGCTGGGTGTTCTTAGTGAACTTTATCTATTGTTAATCTATTATTATCTTGTTATCAAGATAATTAGTTTCCACAGAATGTTAACGCTTTAAATAACATATAATCAAAACAAATTAGATTGGTATATTTAACAAAAAACCCCAAACTTTTAACATGTTTTAAACTATTTTATTTTGACAGCGAATTTATTCAAGCGAACCGCTTACACTAAATATAACTACACTAACTACATCATTTTATTCATATTGAAATAATATGCGATTACTTACTCGTGAGTTCAGTTTACCTGGAGGTCTCTAGTGTTCGATCCCGGTGTTGGCCGAGAAAGTTAATTGGGATTTACCGGTGTGGTTCGCCCTTGTCAGTGGTGCAAGACAGAGGGTCTGGCAAGGGTCAATGTATAGTCGTTCGGATAGGTCAAAAACCGAGGTCCGTGTGCTGTCCGAGCAAAATTTCCCTATGCCGTATGTCCGTCTTCCTTAGCCCAGTCGGGGCAGAACAGTAGGTTGTTTCATTTCATTTCAGTTTAATTAAGAGCTGTGGCAATATATACTATCGTATTATTGGCTTATTTGCACTAAGAAATAAAGGGGGGGGGGGATGGCTGAATGGTTAGCGTGCGCGCGCTGTATCATAAAGTCTGTCAGTCATTGAGTCGACTGGCATGGTTTCGAATCCCCGTGGGTTTTCTCCGGGTCCTCCCACTGCTAAAGACCCCTATGACCAAGCGAATTATTGAAAGAAAATTAAACCATATGTCAGTCCCGAAATGACCTAGTTTGTGTCGAGTGGACGTTAAACCACATTCTGTGCACAATTCTTGTAAAGGCCCAAGTTAGAGATTATACAAATAACCGTATGGGTTTTGGGGTTGACTTTGTTTATACAATTTAAAACATTGTAAATGATAGTTATTAAAGGGAAATAACAACCAGATAGATATACGGTAGTGATGAAATGGTCTGAAAATCAAACATAATCTCGTAGTCCGATCCTTAATGTAAATCCGTCCGCTTTTCGGGTAGAAATCGGGGGGAAAGCTTTATTTTGAAGGTTTCGATGTTTACTGACAAAAAAACCCAAACAAAACAATGTTGACATTATTTCTGAGTAGGTCTTCATAGTATGGGGGGCCATTATCTGAGGGTAGCCATTTTGCGACAATATTCCAACTTATTTTATTTTTATCTTATTTATAATGTTATCGTCATACCAACTGTGATTTGGCACTGTACTTGTATTGACAGGGGTCATAACTATATTTCAGATTTTTCCCATCACTTTATGAAGATATTTCAAACACGGCGGCTATTTTCGGCGGGACAATGGGACGATGTGAAGATTTTGTTTAATTGGTAGAGTTTGGTGTCATAATATATTTTTTCGGGGTCGCAGATTCTATTTCTGACATTTCCAACCTTGTAAAATGATCACATGTTCACATGCTTGGCATATTTCTAAGATGGCGGCCATTTTTGGCGGGAAATGGGATAATGTGTTTGGTGTCAATGTATATGTTTACGGAGGCGCAGATTCCATTTCTGACATTTACATCCTTGTAAAATGATCACATGTTGAGCTATTCACATAATTAACGTATTTCCAATATTGCTGCCACATATGGCGGGAAAATCGGACTATGTGCGGATTTTGATTAAGTAGACGTCTCTGGTGTCAATATACACTCTTCAAAAAAGTAGGGATATTCAGAAACAATACAAAACTGCGGAAATGCACTGCTGTTTTTATTAGAGGTAACCAGTGTATGTTAACAACAGGCCAATTGCCGACACATGAACATAAACAGTTCATATGGGCGACTTATCTGGCGGCCTCATTTCACTCGCAAAGAGATACACCGTCAAAAGTGAAAATGGACGTTTTAGATTTTTGTCTCAATAATGAGTAATTGCTCCACTAATCCTCAGACATTCAGCAATTCGTCGTGGCATGCTCCTAATCAATCGTCCAATCACGATTTGGGGAAATTATTTATTTATTTTATTTATTTTATTTATTTATTTATTAAAGTGTCACAAATCATAAAATATATCAATATATAAAATTCAGTACATGGTGCATTAAGATTTCCGGCCAATATTGGCCTACGAGACACTGCAGTTAAATACTATATGTTAGTGTAAAATGTCCGGACATACTAAGACTTAGTAAAAACAATGTACTGTAAGATACTTTACACTATACATAAAATATATTAAGGTCTATTATTCTACATACATAATAAAATACATAATTAAAACGTGCAACAACCAGGGTATGTTGACACGAAGAATCGCTTATTATAAAACAAAATCAAAGACAAATATATCATAGAATACGGTATGGGGAAATGTTTACGGTTAGACGGAGAGCTGTTTTCGTTTGTAATACATCTGTTCTAGAAATTTACCTAAACTTGTTTGTGCGTAGTCATCGGACATGATCATCAAAAAGAGCTCATATGAATATTCATCATAATTTGGACTTGTATTGTTTACAAAGTCTGCAAGGATTTCACGTCTGATATCATTATATGCTTTACATTTCATTATCACATGGAATTCATTTTCAATTTCTTTCTGGTCACAATAATTACATAGCCGATTTTCTAACAGTATGGGAGGTTTACTGTAACGACCCGTTTCTATAGCAATTGGTAACGAGCCACTACGGGTCTGACTGATTAACCGTCGTTGGTGACGAGTTATCTTAGGGTTTGTTACATAAGATTCGGTTATTCGGATGTGTTTAAATTGTCTATAGGTTCTGAGTTTATTTCCATTAACATTGTTTTTATCATTATACATATCATTTGACCAGTTAAGGGAGTCAAGTTCATCAAATCTGAGTTTAGCTTCATTTACAGCATATTTGACAGAATTTATATTAAATTTTATCAATTCTCCTAAATTAATTGATTCTACAAATTTTGTTACCTTTGTATACCATGAATTTCTAGTTTTGTGAATCATTAGGTAATTAAAGTATGAACTAAGATATCGATTTGAGTCTAAACGGTGTAATTTACATAATTGTCTAATACATTCAACTTTTTGCTTGGTTTCGCAGGAGGTCCAACCAACATCCCCCCTAGTTGCTAGGTTTGAAGTGGTCTTCCCAACCCCAAGAAAGAACTTGATGGCTTTATTTTGAATATTATTGACGCAGGAGTAGGACTTGGTGCCCCATATACCAGCACAATAAAATAGGATTGGTTCTACAAGGGATGCATATAACTTAGAGAACACTTTAAATGTCATTCCTCCTAGTATCTTAAATTTTATACACAGAACCCCTAAAGCTCTGCTTGCTGACTTTGACAGTTCTTTAACCGTTTTATTCATGTCTAGACGTTCATTAAACCATAAACCGAAGTATCTATAACAGTCACATGTTTCAATTATCTCCGGACCGCATGTAAACTTATGGGTAGATTGGGGTTTACTAGGGGTACGGAAGTGAACAATTTTAGTCTTTTGGGGGTTCAGGGAGATCTGCCATTTTTCACACCATTCATTTAACACTGATAATAATTTATCCATAGAAGTTTCATCAGGGGTTATTAACACTATGTCATCAGCATATAGCATAATTGAGATAGTCCTATTGTCTACTGTTACTCCACAATTTGCTGCATTAATGACCTCTACCAGGTCGTTGATGTATATAGAAAAAAGGCTAGGGGACATGAGACAACCTTGTTTCACACCGGAATTTGTTTCAAACCACTCAGTTAGCCTATTATTGATCCTGACAGAACTTCTCGTATTTTCATATAATGATTGTATGGCACTAAGAAATTTTCCACTTATTCCGAGATGTTCTAGTTTATACCATAATAGTTTTCTGTTTACAACGTCGAAGGCACGGCGGAAATCCACGAAGCAGACGAAAGAGGACTGTCTGCGTATTTTTCGTTCGTTTATAATGTTATATAGCGAGAATATATGATCGGAACAATTTCTCTGTCGTCGAAAACCGTTTTGGAAGTCTGATAACACATTATTCTCTTCTAGCCAAGTTGTTATTCTAGAGTTCAGAACATGACAATATATTTTACTCGGGACAGACACTAGCGATATTCCACGATAATTGGATGGGTTTGTATTATCGTTCGTTCCAGATTTAGGAATGGGATTTATCACACTTTCAGACCATTGTGACGGAACAAATCCAGAATTAAAGCATGCGTTACAAATTTTATACATAAGGTCACACATAGTGTCATTTTTTAAAACTTCTGCTGGTATAGAATCAAATCCACTGGCTTTTTTATTCTTTAGCGAGTCTATGGCACACTTGATTTCATTTCTGGTTATCGGGTCATTAAGGGTTTCAGAGTTTATGCTGTCTTGCTTATCCGGATTCGTTTCTGGTATCAGTGGAGATTCACAACGGTTATATAACACACTTAATTCTGTACGCCATTTTTCTAGTACGGCGTTTTGTTCACAGGTAACATTGCCATCACAGTCTTGTACTTTCCATGGGATTGTTTGTTTTCTATCGTTTCCAATTCCGATGCGTCCAATAGTTTTCCAAAAATCAACATGATTATTGTCTAAAGTTTGTTCAAGTTCAATACGTTTGTCATTATTATATTTACGTTTAATTTTCCTGTGATATTTGTCAAAGGTTCTACGTTTATCACAGAAATCTGCTCTTAATTGTCGTTTGAGAACATGTGAATATTCTTTTAGCCACCGTTTCTCAGCTTCACATGCTTTATCCCACATCAGTTTCAAGTCACTATTCCAGTAAGGCTTTACTTTATTATTACGTTGATGACGTTTATTGGCATGTATGGTTTTGGAGGGTATTCTAATATTCATTTCTTTTGTCAGAGTTTGTATTATATCATTGTATACTTCTTGGATTTCTTTCTGAGGATTTGAGGGTGTTTCTAGTTTGTTTATCGTGTTTTGAATTTCTGCCAGTGTTGCGGGGGTATTCATAAAGTCTTGAGGAATTGATAGTAGGTCAAATCTTTGGATAGGCTGTTGAGTAATGTCAAGGTCAAGTGTAGTTTTCGGGTTTAAAAGCACTTCCCAAACAATAAGTGAATGATCCGGTATGGAGTCTGGACGTTCAGAACATTCGTTTATAATCTTAGACATAGGTAACACCTCAAATGATGTAATTCGGGCTAAGTTCTCATGGGGCACACATACATAGTCAACCACAGATTTCCCTAGCGTGGATATACATGTGAAATCTTGCTTACCTTTACGGCCATTCACGATACAAAGATTACTGACAGTTAAAAAATCCATAAAAAGATCCCCAAAATGATTTTCCTTTTCATCTATGACCTCACGTGGTATGACGTCGTCAACTCCATCGATAATATCCGAATTATAACCACATCTTGAATTAAAGTCACCGAAAATATACACATCTCCTGAGTTCTGGTAACTGTATACTTGTTGTAGTAGTTTCTCAAAGAAAGTGCCTGGTTCGCAGATCCTAGTACTACCCTCCTGGGGTAGATAACACACTGCAATACACATCGAATCATTGGAATTTATATATTTTAGATGTAACCATAAAATGTCCTCAGTTGTAGAATCTAACACATGTACATTAAACACATTTCCAATCAATTCTTCCCTAATAAAAAAACCAACTCCACCGTTTCCTCGACGACATCTTTTGTTAAAAACTTTACGGTTATTACCATACCATTTAAAACCATCAATATTTAAAACTTGTTGACCAGTTAAAAATGTTTCACACAGTCCTAAAATATCACAATATTCAATCACTTTTTTTTAAAATTCCCTACCCGTTCCATTTTTCACTGGGAATCCGCGGCAATTCCAGGTGCCAAATTTCATGTACCTTCATGCTGTCTTGTCACACAGGTGGCCACCTTTAAAAACCAATTCATTGCTCTTTCCCATTTCTTTTTTTATTCTTCTGAAGTTCTGTTCTTGACGTCTTTCTTCAGGTGATTTTAATATTTCTATATATATATTTTTAAATTTATCATTCGTTCTCAAGGTTCTTTTTTTGTTCATTATTTTGTATTTGTCGTCCATGTTTTCTAAGGTGATGATCACTATCCCTGGGTTGGCGTTCTTATTCATTGGGTGTTTACGTAAGCGTTCGGCTTTTTTTACTTTGACATGTGTTAATTGAAGACCCTCAGTGATTACATTTTCGATTACAGTCAATAGATTTATATCGTTCTCGCCTTCATCAGACTCTAGATTTTTAATCACTAGTTTTATTTCAGTCTCATTCTGATCACTATTTAGGGGTTTGTCACTGATATTTTGTTCCAGGTGACTGATTTTATTGTCAATATCATTTCTCAACTTGTTTATTTCTTTTCTTGTGTCATTGGTAATTTCGGTGCAGATAACGTCTTTTACTTTTATTTCCATTTTTTGAAGTTCTGAGTTTAGTCTCTTGTCAATAATTTCTGTAACTCTTTCTTCAATTTTTCTCTCTACATCATTTATTTGTTCAGTCACCTGTGTGTGTGTCCTATTGATTTGCTCACTCAATCCACCTACCATTTGAATCAATAATTTTAATTGGTTATTGTCCGGTTCACCACAACTTTCTGGCTTGACCTTTTTCATACTAATTTGATCGCTGACATCATCGGGATCTTCACTATGTTCTTTTGGAACTGTTAAGTCGTGGTCTGCCATTGCCATTTGGGTTGGTTCTTCCTTGCGGGAATGATTCATCCATGACGACATTATTTGTGTTAGACATCATCACTTCTTTTACAAAATCTTCAGAAATTGATAAATCCATATTCCCAGTTAAAATACAATTAAAATACAGTTAAAGTACAGTTATAAAGTTGAGATTTGACCGTAAAATTCGTGAAATAAAACAATAAAAATCAGAGTCTATTTACGTCACGCTTGATTTGCGGAGCTCCAAAATAACACGTCTGACTCCTTCACAGACTAGATCCCATTCAAATCTGACCCACTCCTCTTGCAGTGCCACGGCCAATTCTCGCAGTGTTGTCGGTTTCTGTGCCAGATTAATTAATCGACTTTTTACTCATTTAATAGGAGGGCCTGACCAGAGACGAAAAAAACAAAAACAGAAAAGAATGTAAGAAAAATTGCATCAATTTCTCAATATGCCATGTACAATGTTCCGTGTGGAAAAAGTAAAACTTCCAAACATTTGACTCTTGGAATGGCGATGAAGAGTATAACAGGAAAAAGAAAAGTAATTGATATTCTAAATCGTTATGGACACTGTGTTAGTTACAACGGCATTGAAGAACTGGAGACGAATTAACACACAGTTCACAGGAAGAACAGAGTATGGTTCCACATGGGAATACAGAAGATATTATCATTGGTTACCTGTACTGCCTGGGATAATTACGACAAATTGTATCAGATACAAGTACCAGTACTGAAACAACTGACACTGATAACAAGCTTCCTGTTTGTCGGAAAGGACAGTCATTCAGGGGTAGAAACTAACCTGAAATGGTCACTAGCCATTAGGGCTAGTAGCTTTCAGATCTTACTAGCCCAGCCAACATTCTACTAGCCCAGTAAGAAATTGACACCAGACGTAAAAATTCTGATTTAGACTGTTGTTTTGTTCATCATTAATCAATCAAAAACACCAAAATACATGCACTTAAATTTATTTTGGCACATTTAATAATACAACAAATAGACTTCGTTCATTGTTGCCTCTGTTTTTTCATCAAATAATGAATTCATTAATCAGTCATGAAGACATATATTAAAATTCAATTTGGCACATTTCATTTCATATTTGTCCTTTGGAAGTTTAATCTTCAATACAATAGATTTTTTCAGGGGCCTCATTTGTATTTATATTTCATTTATGTTTTATAAATTCAGTTGTGATGTGCAAAATAATATGATGTAATGTCCTTAAAATTTAATATCATAAGTTGTCACCGAGTGATGAAGTTATTTATAGCAGAGCACGTGTATTTACGAGCGTCTTAATTGCCATAATATATCGCTGTTATAAAACCTTTTAACATCCATGTTCTTCATTAAATTACTTCGTGTATATATATCAACGATTAGGTTAGGCGATTTATGATAATTAACCTGAAATATGACTGAAAAGTTATTCAATTATATCGACTCCCGCTTCATAATTCATTGAGGTGTAAACAGAGGCTGTTCCGTACCCTCCCTTGTTATCATACAAAAAATATCAAGGCTACGGTGCCCTACCTGCAAGCTGTTAAAAATCTTAAAACTAAAACCGCTATGTCCCGCCTTAGTCTAAGTAGAGAGAGAGGGCGATACAAGAATAGACCTGCACATCTGCGGTTTTGCACAACCTGCCCTAAACAGAAAGTTGAAAATGAGTATCATTTTCTCATTGAATGCAACCGCTATGAGGAACTCCGTAAGACAATTGTTTATGGGGCATTTGAGACCCAAATGTATCCATTTTCATTCGAAAACATGTTTAACCCACCGTTTGCTCTGGCAAAAGCAGTGTGCAACTTTGTACATCAGGCTTTCAAAATAAGGGATGTGGCACCCACTTCTATATAAACAAAAAAATAAATAAATAAATAAACAACCAACAATTCAAAGACCTCTTCACGTTTAGTTTAAGCGACTATGGCATATATTCAAAACTTTGGTTTATATTTTGCACATACTGCCTCAATGTATGTACATGTAAATGTACATTTCATTCACTTTTATGTATCTTTCATCTACTTTTTTATACGCCCACATTTAAATGTGGTCGTATATTGTCGTCGCCCCCGTCCGTCCGTCGGTCCGTCGTCCACAATTGCTTGTGGCCGCTC